TCCACTTCTCGGGGAATGGACTGCACACGACTGGGATTAAGTTTGAAGTCCTCACTCGAACAAAACGACCTTGCCAGCCCTGATACCGGTCCTCATCAATACTTGAGAACGGGGCTTTACTGGCCCGCTGCACAAGCTTTACCAGTTCCCCCTCCCCCCGAAAGATTCGGGGACTGTATAAGCGAATAAGATGGTCGATGGTGAACGAGCACCCGCCGATTTTGTTCACAAAGAACCAGAGGATGATCACGATCCTCCAGAGCGATGGGTGAATCTGGCCTAGGCACATGTTGTACCTTCTGCAGAAATCCAAAATGACCGGATCCACCGGGCCCAATGTAAATGGATAAATGTAAACACTTAGGTATCCCTCGACATGGGTGGTAATGGCTTCATCGGGGTCGGGGACCACTATGTCCTTATCGGCCTAGTTAGAGTCTTTTCGGACCGTGGGGAGGATCTCTTCGGTGATCGAGCAGATATATCTCGAGACCTCCTCATACCGGCCTTGTACAGAGGAAGGCTTTTCGACCTTGAAATCGATGTTGACCGAGCATCCCCCGTGGATGAACATTTTCAAAGGGGGTTCAGTTACTGGTTCATCGATGGCAGCGCGCGAAACGGTCTCCTCAGCCTCAGTAGCCGGTCGCGAAGTTGAAGGAGTTTCTTTCTGGGGAACGGTCTTGGAAGTCTTTGCCATTTCTTTAAAAAATGAAGGAAAGTCTGAGAAAGGTGGAAAAAGAAAGGAAGATTGAAGGATTAGATTTGTTGTCTTGAGATGAAGATGGGTAAAAATTCTTGCAAAGGAACTCGAATAACTGGGGTAAAAGTGCTAAAGAGTATTAAAATCTTAAAGGTACGAGGGTAGAAGGTTTAGATGTAAAGTTAAAATGAACAAAGGCGGGGGTATTTATAGTAGTTCAGCGACGTTTTGCATCTAGGGACGGCCGGCCGGCAGCTGACATGCATTTAATGCCATTAAGACTTGACTGACGAGACGTTTCGGTTGTTTTGTCGTTTCTGTCACGGTGTATCGAAATAAGAATCAGAAGCTCATGTCGTTTCTCGTCGTTTTACTCTCCGAAAAATGAGGGGACTATCTGTATACGGGTGAAATCGAGTTTATGGTGCATCCTAGCCTCCGATAAGATAAGCAGGCTCGAGATATGGCAATAAGGGACCGAAATCGAGCCAAAGTTCCACCGGGCTAGAACCCGGGGTATGATGCCTGCCTTCGAGAATATCGAGGCCATGATCCCAGAATCGGTCCTAGTCTCGAACGACTTCGAAGAATGTTGTCAGACAATCCAGCATAGCCAACCGAAGGCCGAAATATCCGTGACCGGCCGAATGTTACGGCGGGAACTCGGCACGTATCGATAAGGAACCAGCAATCAACGAATTTTACATTTTATAGAGTTGTACCTAAAATAGGACTCCCCTACTATATAAAGAGGGTTTAATCATTCATTTGACACATTGTAACACGCACTCAAAATCAATTATATTATTATTTTCTTTGTCTCCAACTCTTGTTCTTTTTCATCTATACCGGTCTTGGTGAGCTCGGTTCGAGAGGGACTATTTCATTGAGGCTGAAACTATCCAACTCGTGTGGTTTGAATTTATTTTGTCTTTGTTTATTCAATAGCAATTCAATTTATCGTTTTGTATCAAATTAATCCGCATATCCTTAAAATCACTAACAAATTTAATTGTTATCCGATTTTGAGGGTAAACATTAAAAATGTTTTTCTGTAACCAAACACCAATCAACGACTTTTTCATGAAAAATATTTTTCACGAGAATTCCTTCGTAAAACACAAAGAAAAATATTTTTCCTCCATTTATTTATTCAAGGGAGAGAAGGGCGACACGGTTGAGTACTTGAGTTTAACTTGTTGCATTTGAATTTAAAGGAATAGAGAAGGATAGAAAGGGAGAGACAAGATGATGGACAAAACGCTAAAGTTCCGTTAATGTAAAAGTGCTCAGGAACAATGGAAAGAGACTATTTTAACTGTAACTTTTGTATATAATCTTCAACGCGAGAACAAATTCGCAAATTTCACATTACATCATTTATTATCTACATTTGGACTGGATTGCCAACAGCTACCGTATTTAAGTATTCATGAAACAGACCTCTAACTGTTCCTCATAGAGGACAGAACTTTGACATTTTCTAAACTCGTTAGCGAGCACTAATGGTTCAAATGTTATACTTATCACCTAAAATGTTGTAAGAGAGATTAGTTGTAAGAGAAACTAATCTCTCCCTTCGATAGGTATAGATAGGGCTCCAAGCTCTGGGAATAGAAAATTAGCTGGTAATACTGCAAATAGCTTTTAAATAAAAAAAGATTAAGGGTAGAGTAACTAACGCGCCTTAATTGCAACTAAAGAAGCACCCGTGCGTGCTCCACCTGTACTAAGCAAAAACACAAAAAAATTTCAAACTCAAAAAAGTTTAAAGTGCAAAACTTAGGTGGGCATAAAATCCGAAAAATCTAATTACGAACTAAATCGAATTAATTTGGTATTTCGATTTTTTGGGTATTTCGGTACAAAATTTTCAGTATTTCGGTAATTCGGTTCGATATACGGTATTGGATTTTTGATATTTCGGTATACCGAAATACCAAAATAATTTAGTCCAAGCCCAACTTTATTTTTAATTTTTAGCCCAATAACCTTATGCCCACACCCCAAATTCCAAAGATGAATCGACATGGGTGAGCACTTTTTAAAAATTATTTAAGAAAATAATAATATTCTTTATTTATTATATAAATGAAAGATTTTTTTACACTAATGACATATTATAAAGATTAAGCAAATAATTAATGACCAGACAAGATGCATAAATCATGGGACATTCTCTACCATCTTAAAGAACTTTTGACATACTTCCTTAATCCGACAATATCCAACATTGAAATGCATCTTATGGTGTTTCATGCGTTCCATTATTCTGTAGGATTTTGATGGTTTATGTTAGATTTATTATACGTATATATCTATCACTATATGGAACATACCTGTTTATATATGTACATTATGTCATTTATATATGTTGTATATAATAGTACTATATTATACAAAGTGAAATTCATACAACTATATAACATAGTCCAAACATATAGTAATATTTATACGATAAATATACCACAAACTGAATTATAACATATAATACACTCCAGAATTTTTATATCAATATTTTGGCGGAATTCTGAATATATAATATTTATACCGATATTATTCTGTAAATATTTATTTCTAAGTATGTATGTATCTTATACCCTTTATATAATTAAATATGCAATATACTATCATTATTCCATAAATATAAAATGAAATTATTTCATTATTATACCTTTTATAATATTAAATATTTCTAATTAAATATGTAATATACCAAAAACTACGTTTGGTGGAAGTCATTCATGCGAAAAATTGGGAATAGATTGTGGAGAATTGGTTAATCCATGGCAGAAGAAATAAACAAGATATTTCAGTTGTTTACTTCCTATTAGTTAATGGAGTTAGGGAGATAGTGAAAATTTAGTCTAAACCGAACCGTACCGAACCAAAATAAGAAATACCGAACCGTATCGAAATATTTTGGTACGGTATTTGATATACACAATTGATAAATCGAATACCGAAATATCGAACCGAAATTTTTAAATACCGAACCAAAATATCGAATGTCCACCCCTAGCAAAACTTGACTACTCGACAAACACTTAAAAAGGCTTTCAGAGGGCAGACTGCACAGCCCAACCGTTTAAATAACCTAAAGAGCACATCTTCACATGACCTGTATCATCACGTTTTTGCTTGCACTTCTGACATTCAGATAAAAAAAATAGAGTTAACCAGCCACCAAAATGGATTTCAACAAAAAATTATGAAGTCAATGGCAAATTACAACTTTCCTCTAGACACACAGGTTGGCAAGTGAATCCGAAAGCTCGACTTATCCGGATTCTAGTTGTGCGAGACTCTCCTACCTGGTAGAAGTGTTTCTTCTTTGCTAGAACTCGAACCTAAGACCTTTGATTAAGAGAGGAGTAATCTCATCCATCCCTTGGTGGTAAATATGTATTAGCACAATTTGCTTTGCACATGTCGGCGGATCTCAAGTTTTTTTCGTTTTTCCTTTTAACCTTGATTTCTTATGTATAGACAGAATTTTGACCTTTTATAAGACCCATACATTTCAGATATCAGTCTAGGTTGTCTAGACTTGCAGCAGAGGATATCAAGTACAATACATTTCCTTACTACATAGTATTCTCCTAGATTAGTACAAAATTGCCAGTGATTTGAAGGCATTTTCCAAGCATGAATAATATTCCTGTTCTATCATGATTTTCCTCAGGACCATGGTACCTAACTAACCAATCAATCAATACTCTCTGTGCTATTCTCAGGAGATTTTGGAATGCAGAATTTGGTTCATTATCAATTTGCTTTGCAAAAATACTCTGTTTTTGAAAGTCTGGACATGGGGATGGAACCAATAAACACCAAGCTTATGGAGCCAAAAGATACAGAGTTATTGCCTTATTGGTCACATCTGTAAAAATAATCTGTCATCCCTCGTTTGCAGCATTTCCATTTTCTTTGTTATGGTTAAACAAGGAAACCTTCCCCTCGTGATTAAACCAAGACAAGAACTTACATCAGTAAGATTAGTTTCGCGCGACAGTGGCTCTGCGTCGCACCTTCACACCTTTCATGTACATGCTGACTGAAACAGGAGGCTAACGGGGCAAAGGAATAACACAGGTCACCAAAGCCCTAGTAGCCCCAGGGGATACTAGGATCCCTTTGGGTTCTCTTTGAGTTATTTACATATTTGTATAATGGATCACCTATTATGCAGAAAAAGTTATGTTTCACCAATTAAAATGACAAAATTATATGCTGGATTTGACTAAGAAGCATCAAATGGAAACAAATAAAAGCATGCTTATTGGGGAGAAGCTGCTTAAAAATAAGAAATATGCTATAAGTGATAACATTATTCAGCTAGAACTCAAATAATTTCTAAGCAAATCACTTTTACTATGCTTCAAATATTCTAATTATACAAGGAACCAGGGAAGTAAATGCATTGCTTACAACAGAATAATGGTGACATCTCAAATCTAGACTTTCATACTGCTATCCAAATGGGCGTTTTTTGTTACTCATACGATTCTGAAGCAGGGGAAGCATTGTTGCAATTGCATAAGTCCCATGGTGAATTGTCAATTTCATCATAATTCAGATTGATGCATCTTGGAATGCTAAATAAGAATCGCAATCTTCAAGCATTTAAGTCCTTGTCTGCTTTTCTAATTGGGGCTATCGGCAGAGCTACATCATCTATTGCACCAACTCCTTTTTCCAGGCCTATTAGAGGATCAGATTCACCTTCCTTTGTCTGTATCATTTAAATGAAAAAAGAAGTGATGACAATAGTTGCATGATGCATTTGATAGAACAAAAATATCACGTCATACCTGAAGTTGTACCGATACTTCTGCAATTTTTTTCTGACCTTCGCGGCTGCAATAATATGAATAGAGAACCATTCCTATCAAAGCAACAAGGATTCCAAGAATATTCCTCCAGTTGAATGGGTCATGAAGTAAGATATACCCAAAAGCTAATACTAGACAGGTTTTGAGATGGCCAAGGACTTGGTAGGTGACAGGGGATGTCTTTCCAATCACAAGGAATGTGCTAAAGTTAACAGAGACTGCGATCAAGCAGGAGAGGGCAATGAAAACCTGTAATTATAAAAATGAATCAGGTATGGGACCATACACATCAGAACAGCAGTAAATACATTGTCAAAGAAGGGTTTATAATGTTACCAGCACTTGTGGTGTATATCTGAAGGCAAATACATTTTGCTGAGTCAAAAACTTATCCAGAAATGGACCAGAGATGAACAAAGTCATGGCTTGGTATGGACTAGATTGATACAACAGTTGTGTTGAAGAAACCTTGAACTTCTTCTGGATGGTATTGGTCATCTGAACGAAGCTAATTAAGAAATAACTAGTAGAACATATTCATGGACCACGGCAAATATATGTCTTAAAAGACCTAGCTTTCGAAGAGAATTGATTTACAAACTTTTCCATATTATGTTTTGATGCGAATAACATAGGTGAAAAGCTATGAATGTCGAGACGATCAAAATTATTAATAAAATTGAAGGAAATGCAGCTCCAAAAGACAGCAGGTATAACAAAGCAAGTTATAAGTTCGAGGTCGGTTACATAGATAGCATTAAGATTTTGCATCTTCCTCCACATTAGAAGCTAAACATGAAAACTGATAGCATGAAGAATGCATCCCTGCGGCGCCTCCGCTGCACCTAAGAGTGTGACCTAGTGATCAATGGAGTGGGGGAAGAACCATGAGGTCTCAGCTTAAATTCCAATGGAGGAAAGAAACACCAGGTGATTTTTCCCTTCTAAGACTTGGTGGGCAGAGTTACCCGGTACCTGTACTGGTGGGAAGTAATAGCTACCATGTGGAATGAGTCGAAGTGCACACAAGCTGGCCCGGTCACCACCATCATCACAAAAATAAAAAGGAATGCATCCCTCACTAGTCCGCAGTTAAGTCAAAGTCCTCTATTAAACGAAAATCACCATATCTGATCCTTATACAGGTTGACGCAGTGTTCTTAAGAGGGAAAAGCACGAAAAAGTGACAATCTCCATGGGGCTTGAATGGAAAAGCAAGAAGTGAAGCACACAATCTACAAAAATTAAAAAACATTTAACATTAAAAAACATTTAACCATTGTTGTTTTTCGTTGTTGATTACCTTACTATCTTATTGTTTTTATTCTGCTTTTATATGGCCTTTTGATACTGTCCCTTCTTGTCTATATTTTCATTAATGTGGTGCTTATACTTTCCTGAGTCGAGGGTCTATTGGAAACATCCTCTCTATCCTCACAAGGTAAGGGTAAGGTCTGCGTACACACTAACCTCCCCAGACTCCACGGTGTGGGATAATACTGGGTATGTTGTTGTTGTTGAATATTTTTATAACCAAAAAAATGAAATATATATATGGAAATCTTAGTACTATAATGCTTGCATTAGGGTAGGTTGTCTACATCACATCCCTTGGGGTGCAACTCTTCCCCGGACCCTGCGTATATGCGGGATACCTTGTGCACCGGGGTGCTCGACCCTTATGACTATCAACTTCTCGAAGTTGAGATTCAATGAACCGACCTCTTCTCGTGGGGATCACTTCGTGTGTAATTGTTCGAAGGACATGACTTCACTCATGAAGTGATAACCCTTCGCTTACTATTGCTTCATCGCTTGAAATGTGAAAAATGAGTACGAAAAGGAGTGCAAAACAATGAAAATGAGGAGCTAGCTACTTCAGAAGGATACAATTTGAGCAACACAAGTCGTAAGAATAGCAAGGAGTGACAAGATAGAGCCCAAGAAGTTCAGTTGTAGATCTGTTACAGTTGCAATTCCAACACCCAAAAGAAGAACGCAAAGAGAGAGTTGAATGCTCCGACTGTAATAATGAAGAGAAGTTTCAAGTTAAATCACAAATAGAGAAGACGACGAATCTACCAAACCTAGCAGAAAATTACATAGCAAAAAGCAAATTCCATTAGTGTCAATATAACAAAACCATGAGTAGAAGCTATAGCACCCTTGAACACCTTAAAACAATCAGTTGTTTGTTTATGGAAACATGATTCACTCTTTATATGTTTCGCTGAGTTTGGTGGTTCTAATCTGAGTTAACCGTACCAAATCATGATGTCAAGACTGACAAGTGAATTAACTTATCCTAGTAGTTTATGCAACTTTAGGTGTTATCCAGATCATGTTTTAGCCAAAGTTGTAGTGTGAAGGAAAATGTAGCAAATCAAAGAAAATGCATCAATCAAAACGTCGCTTAACCCAATAAAATTGATCAAGCAACCTGAATTTCTTTTTTTTTGTTGTTGAGAAAGATAAACTAACCTGAATTTCTTGCTGAGGAATAGTGTCTCTAATAGTACAGTGCATGGAATGATTGCAAGCTTCGTCATCTAGCACATTTAGAGATAAAGCTTGAGGTTCAGAATTCATTAGGCAGAATGGACATTTATATTTGAAATAGTGATGAAGGTGGATGAAGGCAAAGAATGTACCTGATAAAAACCAACAGAATTGAAACCAAGGCTAAGGTTTAGCAAACCAATTGAAATTCCATTGAGAATACCAAATCCAACTACAGTTCTTGGATCAAAAGGTTTGTGTTCAAATAACTTCATCCATAGCGCCACATGGAGGGAGCAAAAAGTGACTAGTAGATGCCAGCTTGTCAAAGTTGTAGCTGCCATAAAACAAAGTTTACCGAGTACATTATCATATCCTCTCTATCTCAGACTTGGAATAAGCGAATTAAAACCTGTAACAGCCACTACAGCCCAATTTGAAAATCTAGGTAAACAGTAGAGGCTCCTTAAGTGGTTCAAGCATGAGTTTTGCAACCACAAAGTGATATTAAATGCAGTTTATAAGTTCGAGACTATAAACATTCGTCGTAACTATTAACTAAGAAATCCAACCACAGATTTATTGAAATACAATACTGTCGAGGGAGGATTAACTTAATTTTCACCCATTGGTGATTGATACAGCTACTATCATGCCAGGATAACTTTTTATCTTATGAGAAACCAGAAACGGGTAATGCATGACATAAAACAGAAGCATATTCAACTTCACACGGCAGAGGCGGATCTAGGATTTAAACATTATGCAGAGTCGAGTTCGGATTCAACTAGAACTCAATTGATTTACTGGGTTGGAATCCATTATATGTACTTAGTGAATTTTTAACACATGCATAGGGTCCGATCAAAGCTACTGGTTCGGATGAGCTCTGGATTGGAAAGTATATAGTCTGGCAAAAGCTATGGTATCAAATTAGCAGAAAATTAATCAATTATTCAATATTTACGCTTCGATTCAAGAATCAAATATGACGAGCACCTTTTGGAAATGTTGATCAATTATGGGAAGCAGAACTTAACCAAATGTCGAAATTTAACTCACCAAAACGGAAACCTAAAGAGCTCATAAGCGCTTTATTGCATATCACAATCGATACTGACGAAACAACAGACAGAGACAAAGCTCCAATTGTCCCTAGCTGAAAACGCTTGCTCTCACTCATCCTTCCTTCAGCTACAGCTGTCTGCCTCCGCTCTTTATCTAGATCCAACAACAAAACAAACATAAGTAATCAAATGAAAGAATCAGCCAATTTACCAAATGAAGAGTGCACTAAATCTCACATCTTAAATAAATTCCAAAAATCAGCAGCAAATTTGATCAAAACACAGCTAAAATCCTTCACGCGCCCACTTTTAAGCTCTGTGCGTAAGATCCGATCGTACAATATCTGAGAATATTTTCAACTTCAATTTTTGGGCAAATAAAAAGTTGGGCAGTGACTATAGTCAGTATGCAACTTGCAACAACAGTTTGGTGCAAGCTCACCAAACCGTGTATAACACTGAGTTTGATGAATTTTTCTAATGTGGAAATGTAAATTACATATGTATGCATATATCTCAGTCAAAATCTGAGAAAGGAAGTGATGGGAAAGAAAGAAGTTGAAGGGACGTGCTTGCTTCTTCAAGAGACAATAACCCAATTAGTCCCTTAATCTTAAATGTTGGTTGGTTTGATCCTTAGAGTTTGACACTTAGCATATAGAGTCCACCTAGTTTGGAATGCTTATGTTACTTTGTGGTCCCAACATTTAATGATGTCTTACGGCCTAAATTATTCTCTTAAAATTCATAAGTTAGACTAAATTTATACTTCAAGTTTTACTCTGGCCATCAAAAATATTCAGTAGCTTCTGTCTAGATCTTGTATTTGTGTTAAAAAAATTTACATAATATATATAAATAATATATTCAAAACTCGGTAAACTATCTTTTCTAAAATTCAGAATTCACAAACTCAAAATTCTAATTCCGCCTATGTTAATCTAAGAACGGTTTTAGTATATTCATGAATGGTTTTCACCTCATCAATTATGTGGATTTGCTGCTTCTTTTTTGGCAGCTTTTGAAATAAATAGTACTAATGTAATTTGGGGACCCTCTCTTGATAAATGTTTTAAAAGGCGTGGGCGTAATACGAGTCGTTTTACATGTGTCTCAGCGAGGCGTAAGCCCCGAGGCACGAGGCATAAGCCCCATAGGTATTTAATTTTTAATATTTTATAAAATAATATAATTACAATAAATA